CACAGTTTTGAGCCCTGTGCCTTGCAGCCTCATAAGTCACATCCTATAGTTGTCCTTTAACTCTTTGGAAGGGATTTAGCAGGCTACAGAGAGAACACAGCATGAAAGGATTGAGGTGCAAGCTTTCCTTCTGCTTTCATGGGTTGAAATCATTTCCTTGTTCCTTTGTTGTATAATTTGGATGGTGCAGACCTATTCCTAACATCCACTAGGCCATTTCTTATCTAGAGGTTCACATCAATATTTCATTTGGTGGATATTCATTGTCCTCTAGCTGAAGAATGACTAGAACATTTGAAATCCTTTAGCTTAGTAAAAAAGTTGATTAAGGCAGAACACAATTGAGGTGCATGGCATGGAGAAAGAGATCAGGGACATATTTTTCTTCCTTTCATAAAACATACAGGCTAGGAGTCATCTTGGGAAGCTGTTTGGAAGGAGATTTAGAACAGACAAAACAAAACAGTTTTTCTACAGGATGAAATGACCTGATGTGTTTGTTATGCAGTGGTCTCAAGGTTAAAAAGCCCCCCCTTCTTGCCAACACCAGGCAAACTTTCGTGTAGACACCTAGAAGCTTCCTGCCTAATTAAGACCTTTGAGAGCAGGCATTTCTGCATTTTGATGAAAATACAGATAGTCCTTGCTTACCGACCACTTGTTCAGTGACTGTTCAAAGTTATGATGGTAGTGAAAAAGATTTACGACTGGTCCTCGAACTTGCGGCTGTTGCAATGTCCCTTTGGTCACGTGATTGCCATTGGCGACCTTCACAGCTGGCTTCCAACAAGCAAAGTCAATGTGGAAGCCAGCAGGAAGTTGCAAGTCACTGTCACATGACATTGTGTTTAATTGAGCACTGGTGATTATGACTGCAGCTGGAACTGATGTAAGTTGGTGCGGTTACGTGACATTTCATTTTACAACCGCATTGCTTAGTGACAGAATTGCCAGTCCCAGTGTGGTCTGTAAGCGAGGATTACCTCAATATAAAAGGACAGACATGTTAGCAATGGAGGAGGTTGTTGGCGGCTGTTGGACATTGCTGGTGTTGTATGTGTGTTGTGTTGCCTGGATGTGCTGTGTGAATCCTGGCATGGCTGGAGGAGGAAATTGTAGCTCAGACTCAGCAGAAGCAAGCAGGATCAGAAAGAGAGACCTGCAGGACAGACTGGCTGATGGAAAAGACTGCAGCATTCCATTTATTCATTCATTCATTCATTTGCATGGCCACCCATCTCAGCAAGTGACTCTGGGTGGCAAAAAATCTTAAAATAAATTAAAAACAAATTTCCATCATAAATACAAAAATTAAGATACACTTTTTGGAAAGGACAGACTATATGTCAATGAGTACAGCTTAACAGAGGTGCTAGAAGCTTGGCTTCTAGAGTTATTATTCCCTGTTTTCATTCTCCTCTCTAGGCTAAAAGCAATGCTGGGAACAGAAAGTAGTGAAACTGTCTAATAAAAAGAGAATATCAAAGTTGTAATAAGGAACACCTGTGTGAATCTGGGAGGGAGAGAGGGAGACAGGTAAGAAACTATAAAAAACTCCACATAGAAACATCTACAGGTAGTCCTCATTTAGTGACCATTCACAGTTACAGCAGTGTTGAAAAAGTAACTTTGCAATCAGTGCCTCCATTTATGACTTATGCAAGTCTGTAAAGCAAAGGAAAGCTGAAGTAAGATCGTAAGCACGGTCACGATTTCGCTTAGCAACTGCTTCGCTTAATGACCAAGTGGCCGGTCCCAATTGACATTAAACGAGGACTACCTTTATATCGTTTGCAAAGCCACTATATATATTAGAAATAAGTTCTGTAAAAACATCATTGTAATTTAAAGGAGAACAGTGTGTAGGTGCCTGGAAAATTCCTGTCTCTTTTCCCATCTCATTAACCTGTGGAGTTTAATACCACAAAACTAGTTGATGTCCACTCACTTGGGTGGCTTTCAAAAGAAGCTGGATAAATTCATAGAGGACAGGTCTGTTAAGGGCTATTTGTCTTGAGATTCAGTATTACTTCCCGTTTGGGGGCAGCATGCTTCTAAAGACCGGTTGCAGGAGTACAGTGGTAGGTGAGGGATATATCTCCATTTCCTGCTTGTGACTACCTGGTTGCCCACTGTGGGAAAGAATGCTGGCCAAAAATGGGCTTTGGTCTTATCCAGAGCTCTGTTTTATGTTCTCATGAGGAAGTGAGGTTAATAAGGAACAATGTTCTTGTTTTATCTGCAGTGCTGAGTTGGCTTTTGATAATGAATAGTTCAATAAAAGGTAAATGCTTGTGAGCATTAGAATTAAGTTCTATTTTATGACGGAGTTGATGTGCAAATGCTGAGGTATGAGATTTTGGTCTGTCTCATTTTGAACTGCAGATTTTTGTGACTGTGGATATGAGGGATGTTTGTAGATATAATAGGTGACATCTGAAGATTAAGGTTTCTTTGAAGGCAACAGTGGCTGTAAGAGTTGGTAGCTAGAGAATAGAGAGTACTGTCCTTCCAGTATAGTTCAGAAGTAATTCACCAGAGCTGGAGAAAAGTCCACCAAGTGTTGTTAAAGCCTGTCTAAATTCTGCAACTGTTGTGCTGTTTGTGTTGGTGGAGATTTCTGCTGTTAAGGAGGACTTTTTGATCTCTTAGCACTCCTAAAATTACTGCCAATTTTATTCACATACAATCTGTTCTCTCTTTTTTTCCAAGTGGCTCTGTGATATTTGATCCAGATTTGTTCATGCTTTCCAAGAATTATGCTTAGCTCCCTTAGCTGAAGACAGATCTTCTATACCTCCATACTCTAATAATTACAAATATTGAAGTCATTTCATCAAGTAATAGTTGCTAGGCTGCTTGATTTAAACTCAGCAGAATCTACTCAGACCCATGACATGGCATGGCTAGATGGGAATCTTCATGAAAATACTTTTAGCAGATCCTTCTTGTATCCAGTACAGTACAGTTTAAAACTGCCACTATTTGTTTTTTTAATCTTATCGTCACCTAGCTTTGCATTTCTCTACTGTGGTGCTAGATGGCAATTGAAGGTTGGTATGATTGGCATTCCAGCTCTGAGAAACTCAAGCCATCAATGTTAAGTCCCACAGTGGTGAAGATGGGGCAAGCTACTAATTCTTTCACAACAGCCTTTTGGAGATTATGGGAACATTTGCAATTTTGAAAGCATTTAGCTTCCATGTTGGATATAGCCAGTCAAATTTATATAGTTGATGCTTCCTGCCATCCTCTCTTAATTCCCCAAGAATGGTTTCTGGGCAGGTAGGAAGTTGCCTATAGATATAAATCATTTTTGTTTTTTTTCCTTAAGAACGCTTGTGTAAAACCCAAAGGCACTTGGTTAATAGAAATTCGCATCTGTAGAGAAAATAGAACTACCTTGGCTTCCCTAATAAATTGGATGGGGAAATCACACAAGCTCATCCCAGCCAATACTCTAGAAATCTTCCAGCCCTATTTTGCAAAATCAGACTATGGGTCTCTCAGAGTCAGTGTACAGTAGTGTAATGTTAATGTGCTGGAGAAGGAGTGGGGAGACCCAGGTTCTACTCCTCTGTTAAGCATGGAAACCAACTTGGACCACTCATTCCCTCTTAGCCCAAATCACTATCAAGTTCTGTGACAAGTTAGCCAGAAAACAAAACCCTTTGTCACATAATGCACTGACAACTTTTTCATAAGAATTAGGTAAGCACAGAGCAAACCAAGCAGATGCGAGGATGAAAACCAGCAGTGAGTGATTGTGACCGATCGACAAAAGGACTTGTCAGTTCTGAAGTCCTTGAAGAGGAAATGCTGAGAAATTTAAATTTCCTGAAAACAGAAGCTGTGTTGTATCTTAGAGCAGTGTTTGTCAACCTTGGCAACTTTAAGATGTGTGGACCTCAACTCTCAGAATTCCCCAGCCAGCATTCCCCAGAATTCTGGGAGAAGTCCACACATCTTAAAGCTGCCAAGGTTGACAAACATTGCCTTAAAGTACATGGAGCTTTTTATATAAATTTGCAGGTTTGCTCCATGAAGAAAATTTTAGGCAGCATCAACAGAAATATAATTTCCAAACAATGGAAAACAGTAGTTCCACTTTATTCTGTTTGTTTTATGCAAATTCCAAAATGAGTATTTTACCCAGCCCATCTTCAAATGCATGAAGCTGGTAACTGGCCAACTTTTTTTTCCTAATAATTTTCCCACTTTAGTGAAAATTCTCTCATTATTTCTTGACTTTGATATGTAGAAATCATAGGGTTCATGGTGCTTCCATTGCCTGAAACCTTATTTTAAATAGCCAGGGAATATATTCTTTCTTACTGAGTGCCAAGCTGCCACACTAAAAGGAATGGTCATCCTCCCATCTGTGAGAGAAAAAAGGCTTGTTTATATTCCTGTACATGGAGCCAGGAATAATACCAGTTGTCACTTTCAGCATGACAAAAACATTCCAAATTTAGGCTGGTCTTGCAGCTTGAAATGCATATTAATACTGGGGAGTATGTGTGTGTAATTGCATCCTTGTTTCTTCTGTATGGAGAGCTGACACTCCGAACCAGGATCCAAAGAAGGGACTTAGATACAGTTGTAGCTCTCATTGATCTTCTCTTTTTACCACTGCTAAAAAGATGTTTAACTCCCAATGAATGTTGACAGGAGCCTTTTCTTTAGGAATGCTGTAAAAAACAAAGCCATGCCTGTAGGCATTGCCTGAAGCCAAAGAAGAAATATATGGACATTAGGCCCCTCAGGCTCAACAGCTCAAGGTTCTGGGGGTCAGCTCAAAAACTTGGTGGAATCAGATGTAGAGAAAATGGAATTTGCAGCATCACAAACTATTGGCAGGCCGTTGGCTGGTGTGG